GGTCTTTAAAGAGGTGATTAAGTCAAAATGAGGCTGTTAGGATAGGCTGTAGTCCAACCTTACTGCTGTCCTTATAAAAAGAGGAAATTTGGCAGACACCAGGGATACATGTGCATTGAGGAAAGAGCAAGTGAGGACGCTATGAGAAAGCGGCCCTCTGCGAGCCAAGGAGAGAGGCCTCAGGAGAAACCAGCCCTGCGACACTGTGGTTCTGGACTTCCAGCCTCGAGAGCTGCGAGAGAATGCATTTCTGTCATTTAAGCTGGCCAGTCTGTGGTGTTTTGTTACTGCCTCCCTAGCAAACGAATATAATTAAGAGAACGGTGATGGGGGTGGTGGTGCTTTGTTCACTGTACGTGTCATGTCCTAAAGGTGGCCCCCACGCGCACTTCGTATCTGCTTTCTCCCACTTGATTGTGCATTGACCCCAGTGCCTGAGCCAAGGAGATCCTGCGTCTTTATTTGGGGGCTGCAAACTCTGGTACCTAGGACAGTGTACGAGATGATAATGGAACAAATTAGAACCAGAAGGTTTTCTGAAAGCATATTTTAGCAGTGAGGGAAAAATGGCCTTCACTTGATTAGAGGGATTTTTGGAAAAAGAGGCCTTTAAAGAAAACAACAACCCAGCAGTCCTGCCAATAAGGACATTTAGCCATTATTTCAACTTCATTTCATGGCTTTGTCAAAATAAGGTTAATCTGTGAAAAATGCCTTCCCCAAAGGCAAGGTTTTGGCTTTGTTGTCTGCTGTGTTGTAAGTGGTTGCTGGCAAAAAGTAGTGTTCAATAAATATTTATTGAGTAAATGAAAATTATTTCACATCCTTCTTTGTTCCTTCTTAGAAATTTTTGAATTGTTCTTAGCATTCTCTTATTTTTTGCCCAATATCAGTTATTCCCTAGAAAAGGTAAAATCTTTTGCTTGTTCTTTTCTCCCTTAGAATTTCATCAAGTGCCTTGAATCAGGTCTTGACTTTTTGATGTTTTGTGACCTTACACTGCCCTTAAACCGAAGGCTCGCAGCCCAGTTCAATGGCACTGGCGCCACCTCGTGTCAGAAACGCGGTACCACACCCACGGAATGAGGGCCTGCCAAGAACCAGCCTGCTCCTCGTCAATTTTAAATGGCCTAAAGGCTGTACATAAATCAAGCGGTGATATCACTCGCTATTGGGCAACCTTATTGTGACTTATTTGTTCTGAAATGACTTCGTCTCCATGTTTAGTACGCTCTGTGTAGTACAAGTACAGAAACAAATCCTTAGTATTTAACCCTAAAGGCTTTTGGAGTTAGTTTGTAGTTCTTACTAAAAATTGATGGCCTGACCTCTTTCTGGCCTCTGTGTTTTCTTGCTCTGTTCGTGTTGCCTTAGCTCGCCTTTCGGAGCCTTTGGCTCCGAGGCCGGGCGGCTCGCTGCGCGGTGGCCTGCGGAACGGCCGGCCCCCGCCCGGCCGCAGACCATCTGGCGCGCGGGCCGCCCACCTGGCCCCTGCGCTGCTCCCCGCGCTCTTGGCGCCGGGGTTGCAGTGTGAGCGCAGGGGATCGTCATCTTCCGTGCCTGCGGCCTTGCATTTCGGGGCCTGGGAACGGGAGGAGCTCTGAGTCACCTTTGTTTTCTCCTATAACTTCCCTTTACTTTCCTCTCAGGGACTCCGTTTGAGAACTGGGGAGGCCCCGTGAAATAAATTCACCTCATTCCATAAGCTTTTAAGGAAAGAACGCATTTGAGAAGAGGGGGCTGTCAATATGTAAACATCGCCACCTTCCTCTCCCTCCGCCCTTCTTCATCTGCTTCTCAGGCGCCCTCCGCCGGGCCTTCTTGGGCCGCAGGTCGCTGCCCGTTGTGCTGGGGGCCGCCCGTCTGCCGAGAGCCCGAGCCCGGTGCTCGGTGCCCGGCGCTCGCACGGCCGGCCTCCTGCTGAGCCCGGTGCTCGGTGCCCGGCGCTCGCACGGCCGGCCTCCTGCTGCGGCTGCAGGACGGCTCACAGCGCCCGCTGCTCGCTCCTCCTCCCTCATACCTTTCGTAGCTGCCAGGGACGGTGGACCCATAGCCAGGCCCTCTCGGCTCGGAATGCAGGATGGTCTAGATCTAATCAGTGCTGCCAAGCTTTTAATTTTCTGTTCTAAAGTGCTGAGTGAAGAGGTTGTAACTCATGTATTTTACTGTGAAACTAAAGGTTAAGACATCCTTGATAATCGACATTTCAAGCCAAAAGGATAAAAATAGTATAACACACAACAGCCAATTGTTTTATAAGTAGTTTATATGAGCCAGGATTTCTGTTATTATTTCTTATTACCTAATAATTTCTTATTATTTCCTATTTAATTGCTGAGACTGAAATGTGCTTATCTTGTTGTTTTGTAGTGAAATATTTTTATTAAAAAATTTTCAAACTTACAAATTGAAATGGTGCACTGAACTGTTATGCACTTTCATCTAGATTCACCAATTCTTTTTTTTTTTAAGATTTATTTATTTATTTATTTTTAGAGAGGGGAACAGAGGGAGAAAGAGAGGGAGAGAAACATCCATGTGTGGTTGCCTCTCGCACGCCCCCGGCTGGGGGCCTGGCCCGCAGCCCCGGCCTGTGCCCTGATTGGGAATCGAACCGCCGCCACTTTGGTTCTCAGGCGGGCGCTCAATCCACTGAGCCACACCAGCCAGGGCTACATTTGCCAATTCTTAGCATTTTGCAACATGTGCTTTTGTGTGCATGGGCTCACTCTCTGCCTCTCTCCATTATTTTCATTTTGCTGGACTCTATGAGAGTAAGTTGTAGACGTTGTGACCTTTTCCCTGAAATACTCCAGGGCAGATCCTCTGAGAACAAGACATTCTCTTACATAAGCCACAGGTTTTTATGTGTATGTGTTTTAAAAATAATTTCAGAATCAGAGCACTTTGGGAGAACTTTTAAGGGTCATTCGCTTATTCCTCTGCCACTTGCAGGTAAATTCTTTGACAGAACAAAACTCACATTTTCCAAGAGTGATAAACATGTTGCTACAGGGACCAGGCCTTAACATAAATGTGTGAATTAGAAGGTACAGGACAGTCCTCGTGACATGTGTGCACACCCCCCCTGAACAATAAACAGGCCAACACTGTGCCGAACAAAACCTTATCTGAGGGCCACGTTTGTCCCTTGGATCATCAGTTTGTGACCCCTGGATTGATCTTCAAGGGTGGAATTTCCACAGCTTTTTTTAGAGGCACCTGTCATAGTCAAGAAATGCTCCTTTAAATCTAATTAAATACTCAGTTGAGATTTATATGAGTCAGCAGTGTGCAGTGGTTAAAAATATGGACTCCAGCCTGCCTGTGTTTGAATCCATTTCCACCGTTTATTCGGCTCTCGAAGAGAGAAATTACCTAACTTCTCCTCATCTGGAAAATAATAGTACCTGCCATACAGAGCTGATGTGACAAACTAAATGGATCTGAATATTTAAAGCACTTTAAAACAGAGCGTCAAAGACATAATAAAAATTTGGTGTCACTGTATTCTGTTAACATTAACCTGGCAGCCTGTCATCCTTACAGATCATGATCATAAGGGATCTGAGTGAGGTGTGAGAGCTGTTCTTTCTAGAAGCCTGAGAGGAGATGTGCATTCCCAAGCCAGAAAGCTCTGTTCTCAGCCCTGTTTTCCACTTACCTGCCCTTGTCAGACTTCTGCACAGCCCCAGAGAATTCCCTAGTCCTGAGGAGGTTGTCGCTTGAATATACTGGCTGGAGGGGACTCTGGGCAAGTTACGTGGCTGTTTCCTTGCCTGTCAAGTGGAGATCACAGAAGCCCCCGCCGCCCCGGGTTACTGTGAGGACTGAGTGGGCTCTCCATGCACCGGGTCGGAACGGCGCCTGGCGCACAGAGAGCGCCGCGACGCTGCCAGCCGCTGGGGAGGACGCGCAGCTGTGTGTTCTATGCTGGTGGCCCGGATTTCCTTACCACCAGCCCTCTTTAGGGGGCTTTCTTCCTCTTTGTGTACAGCTCTAAGACATTTCTTATTCCCTCAGCCTTTTGTAATATTTCTAAGAGTAGGGATCATTTTGCAACAGGGGCAGGGAGGGCAGGTACAGGGTAGGAGGCAGTCAAAGGGGTTATGGGAGGCAAAGAGGGAGACGGAGGTATGGGAGGGGGAGAGCCCGTGACGGCAGGATTTGGGGGAGGGGTTGGGCATGGAGTGGGTGAGTGAGAAATGGGTCTGGTGGTTAGTTACAAGGTGAGTAATTTAGAAGAAGTATTGGGATAGCAGAAGGAAGCTGAGAAACCGAATGGCTGGAAGTGGTAAGGCACCTATCAGAAATTTTTCCTGACACTGCAGGCCGTGCTTTTAAGTACCCTGTCACTAGTGTCCACCTTCACCTCTGGGGCAGACATTATCGTTCCCATGTGACAGATGTGGAAACTGAGGCTCAGGAGAGTTAACTAATCCTTCAAATACTTAGCTAGTAAGTGACTGGCATTTCTTTTTCTTATTCTGTCCTCCTTTCTTTTCCTTTTCTAGAACTTTTGGATTTTTGGCCTAAGGAAGGCTGCATTTAACAGTCAACAAACACTTCTTTCTTCTCTCCTTGGTTTACTTGTCTGCCCTTTGCTTTCCCCAGAAAGTATCTCTTATCCTCTTAAGGCAATATTTACCGAGGACTGTGTTTGCTATGCTCTATATGCTCTGACATAACCCAGGGCAGCGATCGTCAACGTTTTTCATCCCCTGGCACACGTACACTAATTACTAAATGTCTGCAGCACACCCCCCAAATTATATTTTTTTGCTGACCTCACAAAAGAAATAGGTATAATTTTGATTCATTCACCCCAGACGGCTGTTGTGTTGTCAGTTGTCATTTTTTTATTGGACGGTCAAAGGGAAAAGAGGGAAGTGTTTTAAAAATTCTCACGGCATACCAGTTGAAAATTGCTGACCTAGAGAAACATAGCTCTTTCATGTTCAGAATTTACATTCTAAAACTCTTGACCACTTTTTCCCCAGAGAGATTGGAACTATCATCCGGTCATTAGGATGTTGTCCTAGTGAGGGAGAGCTTCACGAGCTGATTGCAGAGGTAAGTGGGGCTGAGGAAGTTTTGTTCACCAGACTGTGCGACTCTGGCTGCTCCTAAGTGGGGAAAAAAAAAAATCCCTTGCCTGAAAGTCCAAATTCCCTAAACCACTAAATGTGCTCAGTAAAAATATTAGGGCAGCTCTGTGAACTACCCAACCAGTGGCATCTGAAAGAGCTGATGTCAAATTTGAGGAAATGGCTATGACCAGGTAGTGCAATGGTTCAAGTAAGACCCTGCTTTAGGTACCGTACTCTCTGAAATTAGTTGAGAAAAGGCCAGTCAACACAGTGGCCTACCCTATGCAGAAAGAGTACCGACAGATGACAGGAGCGTTGTAAGCCATATCATTTCAAAGGGACAGAAACAGAAGTAGAGGCAGTAAAGAGTTTATATTTATTTGGAAATAAAAACTAACTTTCAGAAGAAGTAGTAAACATAATAAAATAATAAGAGCTAACTTGGCATTGACCAGGCAGTCTAAGACTTTTTAAAAAATGGTTGTTTGCAATAGTGTGGGTGAGCTTCCGGAGAGACTTGTCCCACGCAGCAGCAGCAGTGAGCAGCCCGAGGCCACACAGTTCCCGCCTGTTTGTTTTTCCAGAGAAGCGTCTGACCTCAGTTCAAGCGCAGCTTTCAGCTCAACAAAGCAGAGGCCTGAGGGGAAAAACGCTACCCTCAGGAGAAGGATTTTTTCAGAAATGCTCATCTAGGTGTGTGGGTTCAGGTGGAAGCCAACGACGACAAAGAGAATAAGGCAAAAAGACGAGGCAGTGGGATTTAATTTCCTTACTCCTCGCACTCAGCACAGGCCTTGCCGTTCAGCGTGACACCGAAGAGAAGCAGTTGTGACTGGGTGAGGTGCTTCAACTCTGTGACTATTGGTTCCTCCGTTGTAATAACACTACTTCAAAGTTTGCTTCAAAGATAAGTGAAATAATGTATAAGAAGATGTGTTTTGAGTCCTGTAGTACTATATGAAGTTAAGGAATGGAAGATTGGAAAGATGATTCTGCTACCCACATACTCGTACTTTGGTAACTAAAAAGCTGTACCAAGTTTCCATTAGCATTTAAAAATATTCAATAAAGCAGGAAACCTTTATATTGTTTTTACATTTGGAGATCCAATAAAGCTAATTTTACTAAGAGTAGAGGAAGAGGCATTGGTTTGAATAAAATTGCTTTATAAAATGTAAAAATGAACAATGACATTTAAAAATTAACATGTTATAGATGCGATTTTGAATATATCTGTGGACCTGATATATTCAACTTGACCAAAATTCTTTTAGGGAATTTTCTCATCAGGGAAAGGTCACTTTTTGGTCATCACTATATTCAGATCTGTACTGTGTTAACCATGGCATATTTGCTTAAACCAAATCTCCACTCAGGATGGAGCTTTTCCTCCCAAATTACTACACAAGAATTTTAAACAGTTGCTTTTGGTACACCTGGGTGGACGAGCACCTCAGTAGCGACTGTGACTGCAACACTTGCGGCCTCTGTCAAATAGGAGAGGACGCCCCTGGGAGTCTCAGGGACACTCATGTCCGGGCGGAGAGAGGCTGACACGGGAGGCCGCCCACCCCAGAGGGTAAAGTGGGGAAATGAATGGCGTGGCAGCCCCTGACCCCCCATCGCTCCGAATGGTAGAGGCTCACAGTTGGAAGGGACCTCATCGATGGCCTGATGTAGCCCCCGGATACTCCCAGTAATAAGAAAGGGACTTCAAACCCTGAGGAATAACATATTCTAATTTTTGCACAACAACCTCTGGAATGTTTGGAGTAAGTAATTTTTCTAAAATAGGCAGATTTCCATTGTTTTATTTATAAAGATAATATTTTTGACAAATGACAATGATTTTTTTATTATTTTATTCCATCCAAAATAAAGAAATACTTCCTAAACTGTATTTCTGTTTTGCTTTTGAAACATGATTTATGTTAAAATTTATATATGTGGTATTTAGAGTCTAACTTGAAATATCTTATGGTGTTCCTATATTTACTACAAGTAGTTAAACATTCATTTGCGTATCTTATTTGGTGACCTGGAACTAGTTGAAATGTAGATACTTTATAAACCACCTTAAGTACTGATAATATCTTGCTCTTGTGGAGCATGAAGTAGTTCAATTTATTGACTGACTCGTCTGTCACTGGGGAGAAATGAACTTTCACTGGGTGTTTTATTGTACCTATTCAGTGGGTTCAGCATTAAAATAAATATGCTTCAATGAGAGAAGAGAGGGCCCCAGGATCTCACTCTGGGAATGGGAGCAGACCGCTGCGGACGGAGGCTGGCGGGTGGTCACCCCCCCGTGCCTGAATGTCCTCAGGTGCAAAACAGATCAAGGACATGGACTTTCACCAAAGCAGAGTAAGAAGCAGCCTTTGCCTCATGCTTTGCGACCTAGAGAAATGTCGGCATGTTTGAATACCCCACAGTGTTTACATGTTTGTTGAGACTCCCCCGCGCTGAGGAAGAGGTCGCAGAGAGACCAGAGCGCCTGCAGCTCTGTGGTGGCCGCGGAGGCGGGGCCCTTCGCTGGCAGCGACAGCAGCGTGTTCTCTTCAGGACGCCTGCCCCCCATCATTCTGTGGAGGGGGAGCTGGGCGGGCGTCCCAGGGCCTTGGCCTTCCTGGGGAACACGCACTTGCCCTTGCAAGATGAGCTCACTGCCGATGCACGCGAAGTCGGCGCTGGGGGGTCCTCCTGCAAAGGGTCTTTATTACACTGGACTCATAAGCGCTGCCGCGGTTACTCCCCCGTCGCGACCCCCTTTCCAGCACGTTAGCCCTTTTCTTAGGTGAAGCAAACTGGGTTGTGATGTAACTTTGCCTCCCTCGTGTTTGCAATGACAAGATGTATTTGTCTTGTTTGTTTCTGCCCTTTGAAGAGAAGGGGTGCACTGGGTGGCTGGCGGCTACTCCCCTTCTCCCGTCGTTCCAAAGAGGCAGGTGGGGAGCCAGCCCCAGAGGCGGCTCCGCGCTAACGCACAAATAATTATTGAGCCATTATTGGGTGATAAACATTTCTAGAAAGTAGCATATTTGTCTTATCTTACTGATAACCTCATAAAGTTAACTAACTCATTCTGCACCAGAATGATTCTACACCAGATTCTGAGAGGTGGTATTCTACTCCTTGTTTCTCTTTTATGATAGAGGGATATACCATATTTTAAAATGCCTTTTAGAGAAGCTAACTGGAATCGAAATAAGGCCTGGAGTTTAGTGAATACTTGTGTATTAATATTAATTCATGAGTTGGGACAGTGAACCATCTGTAGTTTACATACTCTAGCAATGCAAGGGTTAGCAACCGGGGAAACTAGGTGGAGGTACATGGGAAATCTGTACTATCTCAGCAACTTTTTCTGTAAACCTAAAACTTCTAAAATAAAAGTCTTATTTAAATAGTTCAAAACCTTTTATAATATAAAATAGTGTCTGGTGTACATAAAACAGTCTATTTTGCTGTATTTAGAATCACTGTATAACTATTGTTCTTATGCCATTGCTTATGTATCTTTTCGTACAAAAGAATGGGTAAGATGTGGCCTCTAGAGGGCAGTGTTGGATCATAGACAGGTTTTCACAATTTGCCCAAGTTGAAGGTGAATTCACTATTTTCACTCTTGAACCACAGGCTCTACTACATGGAACACATAGTCTTTAAAGTCATTATCCCTCTTTAAAAAGAAGTCAAAGAAAATTTATGCCTCTTCTGTTTTCCTGATTGGTTGGAGATCTGCTTTAACTTACTATTTTTTGTGCACTTTTGGCTTTACACAGATCCATCAGACCAGAATGACCCGCACAGCTCTGCCCTAGTGTTCAGGGTACCGGGGGCTCCTGGGGGTTGTAGAGAAGCTGGGAGTGGAAGTGGGGACCCTTTATTAGGCATATAACATGTGTCCATGAATTCTCACATGGTGGAGAGCATGCTATAGAGCTGAACTCCCTTTGGAAAAACTAAAAACGGCTTCTAGATGGATGAGGATGCTCATAAAATAGAGTGGGGTTTTAATCTTTCAAGGTTGAGACTGTTTGCTCTACTGTAGTTTGTTCCGGGTAAGGGGAAAGGGAAGCAAACCATTGCTCTGGAGCAAATTTCTTCAGAACAGAAACTCAACATTTCTCTTTAAAAATTACCGCGCCAAAGGTAGTCTCCTAAGACTGATATTTTATTTTTAAGAGGCTCCTTGTTTGGGAATTATAGGGCGCTACCCATCAAGCACACCAGAGCCACGTCACCATTCATTTGCAAAACGCTCACCTTGGACCTGGAGACAGCCGAAGACCATTGTTCCTGAACCGCTGGCTCAGAAACCCTGAAGCGCATCATTCTGTGTTAGAGGGAGCACAGAAGCTGCTGAGGGTGGTTTCTGAGGGCTGCACTCATGCTAGGTGATGCTCTAGTATAAACATTTTTAAAAAATAGCTGTCATTCGGAAGACAGTGTGTTCTACGTAGCAGCTACCTATAGATTTCTTTTTTCTGCTCAAAGAATAAATATATTAAAAGCTCTTCTGTTGAGTTGGGATCTATGAGCCTTTTAATAGGATTTTTGAAAGGGAGTGGAAAATTTACAACTCCTCATAAATAGCCTGACACAAAAGTTAAGACAGCCACACCATCCCAGCTGAACCTGTGGGCAGGAGTCTTTCCCGTTCTCCTATAGTGCTGCTACCAAAATTCTCTTAATCAGTGGTGGTAGAACCGAGTTCTGTTGACCCTCTAGGTATTTAATAGATATTTTACAATGACTTGATATGTACTGTGGTCCTTGAGGTCATGATTGGTCCTCTGACCTGGTCGCTTGCCCAGTGTTTTTTCTCTCAGGGACAAACATCCCTCCATCCTGTCTGTGCAAGTTGGAATCCTAGGTGTTGTCCTTGACCCCTCTCTTTTTCCCTCATCCTTGCCCATAACACATGCAATGCCAGGTCCTATTGATTTTACTTCCTAAGTACGTTTTGAAACATCCACTTCTCTCTCCGTGGCTACCACGGCAAGCCAAGCCCTTAGATTATTCCTCAGAAGCCACCTCACCTGCAACCAGTGTGGTCTTTCAGGCATACATCTGTGAGATCTCCAGTGATTTCTCATTGGTCTTAGCTAACAACCGAAGTCACTTTCATAGACAAAAAGGCCCTGCAAGGCCTGTCCCTGTCTCTGCAGCCTCCTCTAGAAACATTGTCCTTGCCCCTGTGCTTCAGTCTCCAGGCTTCCAGTGCGTCATACAGGGTCTCGTGCATGTTATTTCCTCCGCCCGGGAGTCTCTTCCCTGCTGTCTTTGTTCAGTGACCTTCTTCTCATCCTTTCCTCATCAGCTCTAGTGTGGTTTCCTCATGAATGCCTTCCCTGATTTTTTGGCCCGAAAGGTTTCCTTTATTCTATGATCTGATAGACCCATGCTCATTTATGTCACTGCGCTCACATAAACTTATAATTAGATGCCCAGCTTTGTTGTTTTTTTGGTTAATATATGTCTGCACTACCAGAATATAAATTCTGTGAGCGAGGCCATGCCCAAGGATACTCATTATCAAATCCCGCACTCTTGGCACAGTGCTTGGAAAAAGTAGCTGCTCAATATATTTGTTGAATGAATAAATGGCTATTTTTTTAGATTTTATTTTTTTATTTTTAGAGAGATAGGAAGAGGGGAAGAGAGAGAGGGAGAGAAACATTGCTGTGTGAGAGATACATCGACCAGTTGCCTCTCACATGCCCCTAACTGGGGACCTGGCCTGCAACCCAGGCATGTGCCCTGACCGGGAGTCGAACCAGAGACCCTTTGGTTCACAGGCTGGCACTCAATCCACTGAGCCACACCAACCAGGGCAATAACTGGCTATTTTTTAAATTGCTTGTTTAGGTAGAGGAAGAAGAACCCACTGGATATATTAGATATGAAAAGTTTCTTCCAGTGATGACCAGCATACTGCTGGAAAGAAGGTAAGAAAGTGCAATTATATGTACATAAATATAATATATTTATATTTTAATATAATTTGATGATTATAACTATATTAATTGCAAATTACTTGTTTTTTTCACTTCATATATTATAATCGACCAGTGTTTTTTCCAGAATAGCTTTCTTCTAACTTTTCATTATACTCTGAACTGCCAGTTGGTATGTGCTTAGAAATATCAGCCACTTCAGTATTACTCTAATAAACAGTGTAATTAAAGGGCAAATAAGCTACAAGAAGCATAAGTCAACAACATCCTTATTATCTTTTATTTTGAATTATCAATGATAAATAAGAATTAACCCTAATTATTTTTCTAGAGAAAGCATGGCATTAGCCTACTATTGTTGATTCATTGAAGAAATTTTGTTCCCAGATTAATAGATTTCTATATTGAGGGAAAAAAGTAATAGATAATATCAAACATGCCAGTGATTTTGAACTAAAACTAAGTATTTCTAGTGGGTGTGGAAGGCTTTCAACTTTCATATCTAGAAATTGAAAAAAGTGTATTTACACTTTTTTTTTTGCATAATTAGATACAGACCAATTCCAGAAGATACCCTTCTTCGAGCTTTTGAGGTATGTAAGCTCCAGATTTTGTATGTTTGTATGAAAAATTCATCTTGTAAAATTTACTCACCAAATGAAAAATATAATATTTATCTTTTCCCTAGGTATTAGATCCAGCTAAACGCGGGTTTCTTTCTAAGGAAGAACTGATCAAGTATATGACTGAAGAAGGTGAGTTATTTATAACATATCTTATAACAGTGACTTATTTAAGCGATTAATAATTTAACAATTATGCAAAAATTCTAGAGGATAGTTTAAAATCAATCATTCTGGTTAAAATGAGTTATTTACTATTTCTATTATTTTGGTTTTGGGATGTTTTCTGTTTTGTAGTAAGAGGAAAAAGCATAGGCTAAGGGGAAATCAATTTTTTCCTGTATAGGATTTTGTAAGGCAAAATGATACTTTGATAGGTTGAAGGCATTCCATTCACTTAGAGTGTTTCCAGAATAAAAGGTATGCCACCTAGAAAACATGAACTATCAATCACTATAAATCAATGCTGGTTGTTAGATTAAAGATTTGAATTAGAATATATAAAAATTCCTTTTTAAAGAGCTTTTCAGCTGGTTAAGTTACAGGTAATACAGTCTCAACTGAGTATGAATTCACACAAAAATTTTCAGTTTTTTATGCTCATGGAACCATAGATATTTGCTTTGACCTTAAACTGTACGCTCACGCATATACAGATACACACATAACACCTGTACACCAGATACGCCAACATATTTCCTTTAGGAATTCTCTCTGCTTAGGCTGATGTGTGATTTGTTTCCTCTGTCAGTGGCCTAATGGGCGTTCTCCTGTCCCTTCTCGTGGCCGTCATCTCCCCCTTCTCCCACACAAAGTTATTAGAGTTCGTCGCCTTTGTTCAGGTCACTGGTGCACAGATTGAGTCCTGAATGATTCGGCGTTTCCAACCACATGATACCGAGTAAAAAGTGCAGGTACTTTTGAGTAAGGAAGGCTATGGCTGCGTCTATGTGCACGGCTGGTGAGACTTCGATCCGCGCCAAAGAGCCAACACGAGGTGCGAGTGGAGGGAAAGAGTGAGAAGGACCTGGCAGTCACAGCTGCCACCCTGACTCAGGAAATCGCTAAAATTGCCTTAGGGATTAGCTTGGATGGAAATGTTAGGACTTGCCAAGCATGGACCTCTCAATCCTAAGGACTAATTTAAGGGAAGTGAATCCTAGGTTATATTAGGCAACATAAACTTGTTGATATGTAATAAGTCTCCCCACAGGTAATAAGTCTCAATAGATTGGTTGAATGAATGAATAAATGAATGAATGGGTAAATGAATAAAGAGTGGGAGAAGGGGCTGATGAGAGGAAGGCATAGTGTGAACAAAACCTGGGAGGCAGGAATGAGCATATTTGGGGGGGCCTCTGAGAGACAGGGCGCAGAGGGATTTGTTGGACAACAGTGGGCAATGAGTTTAGGTAGACATACTGGGAGTAGATTTTGAGCCCTGGGCTCAGGAGTTTAACTTCATCTTGCGGGCAGTGGAGAAACATGGCAGGGTTTTGAGCAGATGAGTCACACAGTGCAGGAGGGATTGCAGAGTCAACCTGGTGCTGGTAGATTTGTTAGATGAGCGAGAAAGAGGTTCTACTTGGGAGACCCGATAGGAGGCAATTTCGGCATTTGAAGGTGCCCCAATAAGGGCCTGATCTGGGAGAGCCGATGGGGATGGAAAGGAGAGATTGATTCACTAGGCTGTCTACAGCGGGGTCATGGGTCATGGTAACTGCAGGGGCCGGAGATGGGAGTGGAGCCAAAAATAACGAGGCGGTGACCTGCATGATGGGCTTATGGAATGCTCCTGGCTGAAACAGGGAAGCCAGGAACAGACTGCAGTGGATACGGGGGCAATAAAGATTTTCCCGCTGTCCACGGAACATCAGTCAGCTTGAGAACATGCTTTCTAAATGCCCAGGAGGTCCTATGATGAACCTAGTAAGTCACACGGAATCAAGTTCCTACAAGATAGAAGTCCACATGTGTCCAGGCATGTGTATTGTGTCAGACAGTATTTAGCAGCTGGGAAGATCTCAAAAACATTAAAGAAACTCATGGCGCTGCTTATGTGCCAGGCAATGTTCTAAGTACTATTCAAATAACAACACTTCTAATCCTCATAGCAACCCTACGAGATGGATAGTATTTTTATCATCGCCGTTTTTCAGACAGGAAAACTGAGGCACAGAGAGGTGAGGCGACTTGCCCAAGATCTTAAAGCTAATGAGACAGCGTAGCACCTGGACCCAGGCAGCCTGGCTCCCACGTTTGTGCCCTTAATCATCCAGCTGTTCTCCTCCCATCCTTACGCGAGGGAGCAGTGTGACTGTCTCCTGTAACCTAGCGTGAGCGGGTGGAGTGCGGTCATCGATTCATGGACCTTGAGCTGGACCGCTGGCCTTCAGACCCCAGTCCTGCCCCCACTGGCTGGGCAGGCTGCGCGTTTCCTTGTGGCTGGTGTCCCGCCTGTGAGGGGGGGTGGCAGTCCATAGCTCTCGGGAGGTGGTTGGGAGACTTAGATACTATGCATGAAGCACTTGGGTTGTTCTCAACAGAATGCTTCTTAGTGTTCTTTTAATGACTTACGTGTGCCCATCCATGTTCATTGATGGTCTTTTTAGGCATTTTGGGTATTCTTTTTTCCTCCCTAAGGATGTAAGCATGGTTTCAAAAGAACTCAGCACATTTCCTTTGTTTAATAATGCTGTCATCATTGTCATCAAAATCCCCACTTGAATAATTCCTGGATTATTAACTGAATTCCAACTAGAAAGCATTATTTGTAGAGGCAGGTGACTTAGACTCTGGAGGTAGGTAATCCTCAGGCCTTGGTAACTTAGCTGCTTGGATAAGACTCTTTACAGGTAAGGTAGCGATTTGGATATTTCTGTATTTTTGTTTAATATCAGGACAAAGTTCTATCTTAAATAGTCGACGCCCTTTCCAACAGTCTTCCTGAGTTTACTTTTTCTCATCTTGGTAAAACCAATATCCAAATGGCCTGCAGCTGTTATCTGAATCCAAATAAGCCCACAGATTTTCTATCCAACTTTAGGTTTCATTTGACAGCAATCCCGGGCCAAACTGTAACAAAGAGAGAGCACTGTTTTGAATGGTTGATGAATGGCATCTGTCACTGGGTTCAGCTGCCGTCACTATGTTGGCCAGACCTTGTTAGGGAATATTTGGAGATATAATCGTTAGAATTTCAAGTCTCTGCTATCTGTTCTTCAGCAATTTTGCACAGCAAGTTTAATCCTCTCTTCATATCTCTACTAAATATAATGATTAGACACCCTATACAACTAAGACTTCTGGTTAATCCTTTGGCAATTTCAGTAGTTTTAATTTAAATAAGTAACCTTATTCTTGATGCCTTTGTGTCCTCTGCTGTTTTGGCTGCAATGATCAATTCTAGAGGTTGCTTGAGCTATGGTATCTGCGAGGTAAAATGAGTCCCAGATCTGCCAGGGGCGCAACAGCGTGCCCACTGAACCCCTGGGCTGTCGGTGTGCTGGCCCTGGGGGTCAGGGAGGGTAACTGGTGACACGGGGGGGCCTGTGGGGGTCCCATGGCAGCCAAGCTGGTGAGTGGAAAGAGAGAAAGCAGTCAGAAGACTGTGAGTGATGAGTGTCCCTTCTCGCCCTCCCAGGTGAGCCTTTTTCTCAGGAGGAGATGGAGGAGATGTTGTCTGCTGCCATTGATCCAGAATCGAATTCCATTCATTACAAGGACTACATAACAATGATGGTGATAGATGAAAATTAAACACCCCAAAGACTTAATTTCTAATTGAAAGGATCATTCTGAAAATTGCTTGTCCTTGTTAATTTCTCATTTTATCTACCATTCCTACATATGCTAATTAATGCCTCATGACAACTATTTCAAGATACTTTGTTTTTTAAAAGATGATCATAAGAATTTAAAACAAGTTTATTTGATATGTTTTGCCTTGTGGAATGACAAATTACTAATTATTTTAAAACTATTCTTAAAACATTTTAACATGTCCATAGATTTTTGTTAAATTTCTATAATAAAACCTAGGTTACCTTCAAATTAATTAAGCTGACAAAATGAAAAATGACTAGAATAAGCCTAGGTTTGGCATATAGAGATCTTGGGAGGTAGCAGAATGACCACAGATTGAAAAGGAATAGCAGTGTGATGAAAGCTTCTTTTTAAAACAACATTAGCCCTGGGCGGGTAGCTCAGTTGCTTAGAGCGTCATCCCAATATGCCAAGGTTGAGGGTTCCATACCTGGTCAGGACACATACAAGAAGCAACCAATGAATGCATAAACTGGTGGAACTACAGATTGATGTTCTTGCTCTCCCTTACTCTCTCTAAAATCAATAAATAAACATTTTAAAAACTTATTTAAGAAATAAAGAAAACAGTGTTAAACACTTCAGCAATCTGAATGTGAAAGTTATTAAAATGAATATTAATAATCAATTCCTAATGAGTGCCAATTACAAATCTCATTTGAGATGATAATAACTTAGTGTAAAAGTTTAATTCTGCTTGCTGAAGGAGCTGAGATCATTGAACCTAGAGAAAAGAAGACGGACTCAACACTGGCAATGCAAGGAGGGGGCAGTTCCCTTCTGGCCGTTGGAAGTCTGGCCCCCATTCGGAACCCCTGTCAGCAGGGGGTGGCCCTGAGCGCTGGGTCCGAGGGCCGAGCGACCCCCTGTTGTGCGGGGGCCACCGCTGTGAAGGAGGGGGCTAAGGCTATCGGAGCGCACGGAGTCACAACGGAAAAAGATGCAGGGATTGCAGGCAAAGGGCAACTAAGGTGAAAGAAAAGTAACAGTCTCCTATAACCTGCATATGCTTTCACACACGCAGGGATCTCAGTTTAAAGATGCTTCACTACTGCATGTGTGCATGTACCTATGAACATGTAACGTTGCCTGTGATCCTGCCTCTGAGGCACATAGTCTTGCCCCCCAAGAGAGGAGGCTGCTACCCGAGGTTCTTCGTTACTGTCCATTCATTCATAAAACTGGGTATTACTGGATCATGAGTCAGAAGTGGAGTTGCAGGGTGAATCAGTCCCTAACTAACAGAAGTCACAAGTTAGCGAGGTCACAGTTTAGCAAGTGAGCCAGCAGCCACATTGCGGATGGGCACGTGCAGGGCGCTGTAGACATGCCCTGGAGGGCAGCTACCTCAGCCTGGAAGGGAGTCCGCTCGCTGGGAGACGGAGGACTGGCAATTCTCTGCTATCTGTGTGTGGAGCGGGCTTCCCAGAACAGGTAACACCGGACTGGAAGGCCCGTGGGCTGCAGGACAGGGCACTTCAGCAGGGGACCAGCAAGCACAATGTCCCAGAGGCGTCGTGAAACATGGAGTGACCTGGAATTGAAGGTAGTTCAGTATGTTTGGTGTGTAGGAGATTTGAGAGATGTGCGAGAGAGGTGAAATTGGAACTGGGTCATGCAGGATGTTAGGCTAGTGTACAGTTAAGGTTTTAGTGTTAGAGTTGGACTTCTGATGATCATGGAGAAAGAAAGATCGTTTGTCAATAGCTTACCCCTCCACCCCCCACACAAAACAGAATGAAGAGTCAACACTAAAAGTAGGGAGACCTGGAGGCAGGCTCTTAGTTGGCAAGAGGAGGTGGATGGGAAAAGTCAAGGACGTGTCCCAGGTCTCTGGCGTGGACGGTGGGTGAGCTATTGTGCCACTCACTCAGGGAAGGTACCCAAGAAGCCAGTCGGGGTTGGTAGGGAACATGATGAGCGAGGCTGTGGACATCTTGGGATTGAAGAGCTGTGAGCCACTCTGGGGAAACATCCAGGAACTGGCTGGGTCAGTGGGAGGACGATGTGGCCGGCGGCGCGGGTTTGGGAGCGCTCAGCATCTCGGTAGTGCCGCATGCCTTAGAAAGAGAAGGGGGTCAGCCGAGCCCTGGGGAACATCACATGGAGGGGCGGGGTCCTGCCTGACACTGGAGTTCACTGCGTTCCTAGAGTGCTCTCTTATTCTCCAATGTCATTACTATAGACAGTGACGGTAGCTGACACCGGAGGGCTGTCCACTCTGTGCCAGGCACGTTCTGAGTGCCCTGCGTAGGTTGGCTCGTTTAGCCCCGACCGCCTCCCACGGGCATGGGGCTGTGCTGCTCCCTGTTTCACAAAGCAGCTAACAAGTGAGTCCCACGGCTGTAAGGGGGTGCACCTGTCGGTGTGTGCTAGGCTATGGGTGGTAACGAACCAGCCCCTAACCTCAGTGGCTTGCCACAGTCGAAGTTGGTTTTTGTTCATGTTTTGCGTCACTTGAGGTCAGCGGGGACTCTGCTTCGTGTGTCGTCTTTGTTTACCTCACCCACTTCCTGGGCGGGGTGACACGGGTCCCGGAATACCAGGGCGGTCCCAGCCTACGTTTGTTTTTTGTGGTCCCAGCATAATTAATGGGTCTCCCTTTTAGGAGTGTCTCAGTTTAAAAGATGATTAATATGTGGTGGTTTCATTAAAAAGGATGGTGAAGAATCATCACTTACGGAAGGTTTTATGAAAAACAGCCGCGGGAGTGCAGTAACGGAAAGCATCTCTTCCTTCGCCAGCTCCCTGAGGTTATGCCAAGGTGAATGCCAAGCGGGGGGCTGACATGCCCCTCACTCCGCTGGCGCCGGGGGACACTGCCCAGAGGTGAGTACGAGCCGTGTGCCTCCAGCCTGGCGCAGGGAAGGCTGAGGAAGGGGGTGTGGTGACCTTCAGCGTTAACAGACACGCTGTTTACCGCAGGCGGCAAGGAGGGTGGCAGGGACATGACAGAGCCTCGGAGGTGGAAGTACACCTGGGGGCATGTCACTCGGCGGCGGCCGCAGCCGGCACCAACACGTAGTGTTAGAGCGTGTGCTGGCACCTAATGCATAGGCCCAGGCCCGGACTTGCTGGGAGCACAAGACGGCTCTGAGCTATTGTCTGTAAGCCCGTTGCCCACCACCACCCTGCTTCGGCCGGAGAATCGCCGCAGTCTGCGTGGTCAAGTGGCGACGTCGTGCTCTCCCTAGGAGGGGTTCTGAGAGAAGGATGCCTCGGGGTTGGGTACCCTCAAGTCTCACCTTCTGGAATTCTTTCAAAAGTTCTCTCAAACATCATGCCCTGTCTCAAGGCAGTTCTCTCTCTTTGGTAGTCCCAAGAGTTAGCCTGGTGGAGTATGATTCACATTTTATCTTTAGCACAAATTTGTTGGTTTTTTTAAAAGGCCATCAAAAAGCACAACACAGGCATCCCACAGAAATCTCATTTTGTCTCCTAGTTGCAGAAGAAATGCAGCATATTTACAAAGAGATTGTCTTTATGCTCAGTCCATTTCAGTTCATATCTTGCCCCTCTCCTTCACCTGCTTAGCCTTCAAGTTCCAATTTAAATCCCAGTGGCACCTTCCTGGCAAGAGGGTCGCTCGGTCTCTCGTGCAGAGAGTTCCCCCATCCTTGGGGCCTGGGCTTCTGCAGCACCCGCCTTGCGGAAAGACAGCTCTGTCCTCAAGCCGCAGCCGGGCTGGGGAAGCCAGGAGGTCCTCGCCCCCACCCCGCTTTGCCTGTGACTCGCCCTGGGTCAGGCGCTTCCCTCTGGTGCTCCTTCCAGGAGCAGTGCAGATTTAGTCCCCTTTGCTCGTGCCAGATGTCCAAGTGCCAAAGGCTCAGGGACAAAGAACGTCCGAGAGGGCAGGCTGGTGGGGTCGCTCTGGCAGGGCTGTCTTCTGGGGAGTGGAATGCGGTCAGGCCTTTCTCTCCTTCCTTCCTGCTTTCCTTCCTTTCCCCTCCGTGACTGCTGCCAGATGAGAGTCCTGTGTTTGTACAGCCAGTCCCTTGTAGAGGCCAGTGTCCTGCATGGCCCCTGCCGGGCAGCTTACAGCAGCAGAGAGCCTCGGGTCACTTGGTCCCACCGCATGCCGGGCGTGGCCCCCGGCCCCCGGCCCCCAGGCCTGCGCGCTTCCTCAGCGTGTGTGCCAGGCACCTGCCTCAGAAGCGCCGGGGCGGGGTGTTGCTGAAATTCCTGGTTCCGGGCCTTCAAACAATCCCCAGAACCCGCATTTCTAACAGACATTCTAGGGGAGTCTGACGCCACTACCACGTAAGAGCCACTGTCTGGGTCGGTCTTATACGGTGAAAGTGTGGGATTTGGAGCTGGGCCCTGCCACTCACTGAGCAGGTGGCTGGCGCAGAATTAAACAGTGCCGAGTCTCTGCGTCTTAATTTGTAAGGCGGAAAGAACACCTACCTCACAGGGCTGGTGTGAAAACTAAATGAGATAATAAAAGTGAATATTCTTTAACATAACTGATTATTTATAGGAAGCCAGCTAGGTAAGAAGGGGGAGTTGCGGAGGAAGGTGGGGGCAGGGAGAGGGAGGGGGAGGAGAGGCAGGGGCAGGCAAGGCCCCGGGCCCGGGTGGGCTGTCAGAGGGCGGCGGGGCAGGTGCGCGGTGATGCAGCTGGTGTGGGAATGAGGGTGGGGGGCCGCCTGAGGGACTGGTGGGGCGATAACCGGATTCGCTACCATGGTGCTATTAATTATAAGCTGTAAAGTCTGTTTCTAGAATGTGAAATGAGGAGGTGCTTGTCTTTTATAAGAAATGGTGCTAAAACACACAGCATAAAATTTATCATGTTAACTATTTTTAAATGTAGAGTTCACTAGTGTTCAGTATACTCACATTGTTGTGAAGCAGGTCTCCGGAACTTGTTCATCTTGCAGCTCTGAAGTGCTGCACCCACTGAACAAGTCCTCCTGCCCCCTTGCCCCCTGCTCCTGGCAGCCACTTTCTACCTTCTGCTCCTATGTGTTTGACCGCTCTAGGTACCTCATATGAGGGGACCCGTGCAGTGACTCGCTTATTTCACTCAGCACAGTGTCATTGAGGGCCATCCATCCTGTAGCATGTGTCGGGATCTCCTTCCTTTTCAAGGCTGATGACATCCCATTGCTGTTTAGGCCACACTTTGTTTACTCATCCATCCTTTTGTGGACATTTGATTTGCTTTTACCTCTTGGCTTTTGTGAATAGTGCTACTATGAACAGGGGTATAGAGATAGACCTTTGAGACTCTACTTTTGGTTATACACTCAGAAGTGAGATTGCTGCATTCTTCTTCTTCTTCTTTTTAAAATCACTATCAGTTCACAGTGCTTTAAGAGCAGCATGAATCAGTCACCTCAACTGCTGGAAAAAACTCTCTTACTCATTTGAGGAAATGATGTTTTATTTTTGAAATTCCCAAAGTTGAAATTTTCAGGCAACTCTTAACCAGTTAGATAGGAGGTAAGACAGACTAGCACCTTCTGAAATTCAGGACGCAGTTGTACGTGAGTGGCTCTGCATCGTGCCAGATGTCTCTTGGTACTTTCTCCGTAAGTCTCCAGCTCCGCAGTAAG